TCTAGGTGAATTCAGAGAGCAATATCATTTTTGGAGCTATATTTAGATTTTTGAAGAAGTACTGATAAGCACCAGAGCATACTGATAGCTTCCTGGGGTTTGAAGATTTATGAGAATTAAGGAATAATGTAAAATGTTCTGAAGAGTCCAAAAATGGTTTGGAATAAGTTGGGGTTTTGCCTGGGAGACAGATAGTTGTTGAAATGTTGTGTGATTGAATAAAAAAGAGGAAAGGATAAGTTAGTGAGGGCAGAAAAGAGCAAAAAGATGAGGAAAGAGTTGTTCAGTCTGTCTTCCCTACCCTCACATCCAGCATCCTCACATCCTGCATCCTCTGAGGTGAGTCTTCTATACTTTCCAAGACTATCAGCTTGAGTTATTTGGGTGCCTTATTTTGTAGGTTTTCCCTGCAAATTCTACAATAATCCTGCAGAATTGTTCCTGGATATCACTGATGGTGTAATAAAGAGAGATTCAGAAGACTATGAAGGTATGTAAAATTTTCACATTTACATAATTCTGCCTAATTAATTTGGCTGAGGTTTAGCAATGTGGTGACTTATTAAAACATGGCTTGGTGAATTTGCATGTCATTGCAATGAACAAATAGATATTGTTGAAAGTGAGTGCTATGTGTATTTTTATTTAACTTATGAATGAGCATGTGAATTACTTTTTCTACTCAACCTTTAGAATGTGGGAGTTATACAAATAAGAGATCACAGAAAAACTTGTGAAATCAGTAGTAATCTGTTAAGAGTGAGTTAGTAATCTGTACAGTAATCTGTGGCCTGTTATCCACTTTTATTCCAAAGTTTACAAGACTGAAATGTGTTCAAGGACAGATGATTCAGAGATAAAAGAATTAGCTATTCATTTTTCCAAGTCCACTTTCTACCATGACACAAAAACTGAACTGGAAGAACGCTCAAGGGATGAGAATAAAAGATGCTTGGTCAGGAAGGAGATTCCCTATGTCACTTCCTTCGTCCATCAGCTCATTGGTCTCATCAGGCGTTCATTCCAAAATTTTACGGGTAATCCCCAGTACTGGGCAACTTTGGTAAGTGACATATTATCGCAATTATGCTGTGAAATACCCATGTTGGAGCAATTTGTTTCTAATATAGACTATGCAGGATTCTTTTGTCTTCTACCCATACTTTCATTTATTTGTCATTCCCACTCAGAATTTGAAAACAGCCAATCAATCTAGTGTATTGTCTTGAATATGAATTGTCCCCCAAAGGCTCATGGTTGAATGCTAGTCTCTAAAGGAGCAATGTTGAGAGGTGGGGCTCTTTGGAAGTGGCTGTATCATTTGGCATCATCAAAAGATTAATCCATTGGTGAATTTACAATTTGATGACATTATTGGGAGGTGATGTAACTGCACCACTCAGGGCCTAGTGGGAGGAAGTAGGTCACTGTTGCATGCCTTGGAAGGATGTATCTTGTCCCTGACCCCTTCCTTGCTCTCTCTGTTTCCTGGCTACCATGAGGTAAGCAGATTTCCTCTTCCTTTTCCATATGTCATGATGTTCTGCTTCATCTTATTCCCAAAATTAATTTAGCCAGCAGAATACAAACTGACATCTCTAAAACTGTGAGCCAAAATAAAACTTATCTCTTGTTTTAGTTGGTTTTCATGTTGTTGTGACTAGTTTACCTGACAAGAACAACTTAGAGGAAGAAATGTTTATTTATTTGGGATTCATGGCTTCAGAAATTTCCTTTCATAGAGAAGTGACTGCATTGTTCTGGGCCCACAGTGAGGCAGTGCATCATGGAGGATGGGTCCAGCACAAAAAGCTGCCCAGCTCATGGTGGGGTTCAGAAGCAGAAAGAGAGGCAGAAGGGACCACAGGAAGAACAGTGCTTTCAGGGCATCCCCTGCTTTGCCCCCAGTGACTCATCTCCTCCAGCCACATCCCACCTGCCTACAGCTAAAACCCA